GAATCAGCAATCACGATACATCAGGTTCACGCGTGAGACACCACACGACGGATGGCTGCCTTATCTGAACGCGCAGATAAAGTTGACCGATGGTATTGCAAGCACCAAGTGGTACCACAAGGAAAGCTCCAAAAACATCCTCATTAACGTCAAGCCCGCACATCCTGCATCTGTCAAACGTGCTGTCCTTAGGAATATGTTCAGAACGGCAATGCAGACGTGCAGCGGAGAGGATGAACAGCGCGAATCACGAAAGTTGGCTACCCAAATTGCTTGCAGCAATGGCTACCATCCCTCACCACATATTCGACATCTAAAAAGTGGTGAGCACCGAGCTGAAAACAGACTTCCACTTTGCCTGTCATTCATCTCCGATAAGATCAGCGCGGCCATTCAAAAATGCATAATTCGTGCACAGCTGCAGGATGATGTTATGTTAGTCAACATCTCAAACGACAACATCAAAAAACAGCTGGTGCGAAATCGGCTCTACGATCGTTACTGTATATCTGAGCAATGCGTCGTTTGTCCGCACTGGAGACTGGGAGACTGCGCAAAGATGGGAGTTGTGTATCAACTCGAGTGTTTGAGCTGCAACGCACGCTACATTGGGAAAACAGGAAGAATGCTTAGTATTCGCGTAAAAGAACATCTTGCAGATAAAAGGCGAAAGAACATGGCTTCAACGCTTGGCAGACATAGGCGCGAGGCGCATGGTGATGAAGATTTTGACATTGAAGTCACGATTCTAACATTTGAAGAGGAGATCTCAGCTAGGAAAGCTATGGAAGCCTTCTGGATTTCTGCGAAGAATCCAGAAATGAACAACAAAAACGAATGTCTATCAATAACCGCTGACTTTCTCCCGTTTTTATCATTATGCGAGTTATGACTGTAGATCATTTACCATCCAATACAGTATAACTCATTCGTCCGTCGCGACCGTCTCCTTCCGGTACGGACATCTGATGACGAAGCGGTGGTTCCCTGGTATGTCATTGCTTTCGCAATTTTTGTGGCAACTAGATTGGGTGAAGGCCGAAAACTGGCAGAGCTAGGGGAGACATTTGGTGGGCTGGACTCACTGATGAAACTCAGAACCATTCTAGGCCTCTGACGAAGACGAAAGCGTTGAAACGTAAGGCCGTTGATACTGACTAATAAAGGACCACCTACCAACCTGTACGGCACAAGAAGAACACACAATACATACGAAGAATGCCCAGGTTCAAAACAGAAGGAACTTGGAAACAGCTTATTTGACGTTTTCAACGCTGAAAAGCTTTGATATGGTTTCAGGGCGATTAGGCTCCGAAGAGTTGGAAAACAGGGAAGCGAAATTTTGCCGGGACACTGCCTTCAGTGTGCATAAGTAAAGTTTAGAGCAGACAGTTTCTAGTATAAAAAATGGCTAAATTCTCGAAAAAGCGCCTTTATTTGCGCTCGAGTTTTGGCCAGAAAAGTGAATGCAACGGAAATCTGGTTTTGGGTGCTGTCATTTGATGCCCTATAAATTCTTAACAGACTAGGTTAGAAGTCCGCTTCAAACATTATTAGCTAGAGCGTGAAAAGAACATTTTCAATAACGTGTTGATGTTTCAAAAAAAGAATTCTGGTGTAGAAAAATCGTACTGAAAGGTTCTAGGAAAACGCTCATCAATTTTGCATCATCCAAATGTCATGATGTGATTCTTTATCTTCTTTGACGTCATGCAAGCAAACTCAGTACTCCCTAATCTGCTTACAAAATCTAATCAAACTGGACCTAAGCTGATCTTTCCGGTTTGTTTCCGTTTTTTTTCTGTTTATGGCTGATAGCTTTATGAGTCTTGAGCGTTGGACTGTAAAAGAGTACTAGTTGAAGGTGCGAATATATAGTAGGTGTAGCCGTTTTTTGAGAAAGAAAATCAATATAACTTTTATGCAAACTGGATTCTTTTCTTTTTTCTAGCAAAGGATAGCAACAGGGATGGTCATCGATAAACCCGTCGCTAATCTCCACAGTCTCCACCAATGACATTCGATTAACATTCTTTTGAGGAACATCTCTCAAATTAAGGGCTCCATTCGAAAATTTGAGAGATGTGACGTTGAAGGCACCGTCTATGCAAATCTGAGGTTAACGAGATTTTATGCAGTACATTTGCGAGGATCTTACCTAAGAGAAGGAGACACTCTGGCATATCGAAAAATGATGTATATCACTAGTCCCGTTTTAAAACTGATTTCAAGTCTCCTTTCGCTTTTGACAAAGAACTTTTCGAAATATAGGCTGTACAAATTAGCATCGCTCCCGCGCTGGTATGCCTTGCGAGGGCGCACTGTCCATGCCTGCCTTAGCGCGTAGCAGAGTTCGCACGCATCACACCGCCCCGTCGCAAGTTGGCGCAGGCGCGATGGCGCATAACCAATGCTGGTTGGTACAGCCTATAAGTTATGAGCGTTTGGACGTCCACATTTGTCGAGCCTAAAGTGGGCTGAAATCGGCGTACAAAAACACCTATGCGGATGTCCACCAGGTTTGTTCCTTTCTTTTCAATGTACTTAATACAAACTTGTTGCCCACATCCAGATGTTTCAAACAGCTTTTCGCCACTTTGTATGTTCTCTGGTCATGAAACCTGGGCATTGTTTGTATTAAACTTTCTTGTGAGCCATGCAGGTTTGTTAAGATATTTATTAGGTCTAACGTTTCGGCAATAATGCCTTCCTCAGAGACCTGAAAGAAAGTTTCACACTAGTTTTTTCCCTATATGATCAAATCTCTAAGATTGAATTGCTTGCATGAATTTTTCAAAAATCCTAAAATTTCGCAAATCTCGCTGAATTTGCTGGGGTCGCCACCCCTCAAAAGATTATCTGGGGATTTGACTTCGTAAGTAACTCCAAGATAAGCGAATGGCGAAGACAATTTTTTTGAAAATGTAAGGAGCATTTTCGACATTCCCAGGTTTTACTTAGTCTATTTTCAGGCTCAATATCGTGAGACTACCTGCGTTGATAAGATGGCCGCACCCACCTTTTGGAGGGCGATTGCTTCGCTTCAAGTTATCATTTTTGCAGCGGGACTGGAGCAATAACGTAGTGAAATGCCACGCTATCACATACATCAAGGCCCATAGTAAAGTTTGATCAGTTGAGGTGAACTCAACTTATCCCATCAGTTAAGCTTAGGTGAGGTGAACTGATGACCGTCCACCTTCCCATGCTATAAGATAGTCAAGTCAACTGATAGTTGGCCATCTGTCCACCTGCTGCAGTCAACTGTTCCACATCCGTTCACGTTGAGTTGAACTGAACGTCAACGGATGTTAGAGGAATGCAAATAGCGTGTAAAAGAGGAGACGCAGACAAGAGTTGACTGTATCTAACATAAGTTGCTCCTGAGTAACTTATGATACACACAGCTTTGCCAAAAAATGCAGAAAAATTCGGCGCAAAACTGCACAACCGCGCCCGAAAAGGAGAGGATCGATGAATAGCTGATTTTGGCGAGGAAAACAAAAAACAAATTCTTCTCTTTTTTGTAAATCTTACTGATTTTTTTCTCACTGGCTGTACAAGACGAGAACTCATTTATTCATTTTATTGAATACACGCTACTATCATTTCCTTTTTCATAAAATTTTCGTCACAAATTGTGTTTTTGTTTTGTCCGTGTATTGGCTTGGCGAAGTCCTTGATAGCGATGATCATCGATTGCCATAATGGCCGCTATCAAAGATTGCCCGGCGATGCATCAAAAAGCGAGTTGGTAGACGGAGTCGAACCACGGCCGCGCGCGCGTAATTCCAATCGCTTACCCGTTTGACCAAACCAGCTCGAGTGCTTCTTTTTCAAGTACACATTTGATTGCAATGCCTCGGCAGTGATCCGCATCCAAATCAATAGCTCGCCGTATGCTGGACTGAGGCGCGATGACCTCAACTCCGGTCCGCGTCGAGAGAGATGCCTTGATGGGGGGGGGTTACTACGGGCCCAAGTTACACTGGCTCGGTAAAATGAACGCTTTTAAATGAAGTTAAAATTACTACTGAATTTGATGAAGCAGTCTGTGTTCAAACTCTTCTCAAAAATTTCTCTTATAGCCTGCTTTGATAGAAAGCCATTCCGAGTTAAAAAGTATAGTATCGATGCTTGCTTGCGTCTACATCGTACTGTATGACTTTTACACACTACGAAAAAGGCAGAATGCTGCAAAGTTTATCAAAGTCTCGTTCTTCAAAACTGTCTTTTTTACGTCATTATGCACAGTCCATCAGCCGGACTGCAAGTTCCGCGACATCCTCCGCATACAGATCCAGTTTGATATATTGGTTGGTTCAGAATGTTTCCACTGAGAAAAGGCATGATATCAAATTTGTTACGCAAATCTCGTAAGAGAAGGAAGACACTGCAGAAACTTACGCAGGGCTATAGCGGCAAACAACGAAGGACTTTCCAGAGCAATCAACAACAGCGCATCCTATTTTGTTGGTATTTGCCCAGGCCATCTAAACATATGTAAATTGTTTCTTATTCCACTGACGCGGTAGTGTGCCAACCTGAGTGAAGGCTGTCTGATCTATGCCTTTCTTTGCTTGTTTATCTCTCAGGTTCTCTGAAAACATCAATTGCCAGTTGATTCCATCTTGGAAGATTTGCGTCCACCAACTAACGGCAACCTATGAAGAAAGCATGACTCGCAGTAAATATGAACACAAACGACTTTCTAGATCAAACTAGGTAATTTGCCGTTTAGAGTTATAAGACTCCTTAATGCTCCTTTGACGCTTAACTTAATATAATAGAGAACGTAGTTCCTTCCTCCTCCCAAACAATAGCAATCAACCAGGTACAGAGCATAAGCTTATAGCTAGAACTAGCTTATAGCTAAAATATGTGCAAGGGCGTATCATATTCAGCTTATGTGATGAGATGTAACGAGTTTCAGTTCTGTTATATAGCATAGTTACTCTGAATTACAAATTTTTCATGTTATAGAAATATGGCGAAAGACATGAGTATTAGGTTGACTCAAAAGTTCTGTCGCTTTGATTTTGGAAAATTCGTAATTGCTCCCTATAAGAAAGTACTGACTTACAAAAAATGCAAATAAATAAGCAAATAGGAAAATTCATCTGATTTTTAATCACATCTTTGATGCCTTTTGACAACAAAAGATTCCAAAGATAAAAAAATCCGAATAGGAGAACCACGTTTTTTTAGGAAAAGTCATTGTTTCCGTGAAAAATGCAAAAAAACAGCAAATGACGTTTTTTGCATCAACATGGCATTTTGACAATTTACTTTCGAAAATCACGAATTTGAGAGTGGTTTTCCTATTTGAATATCTCTGGAGTCTTTTGTCATCAAAGAGCATCGAAGATGTGGTTAAAAGTTAGATGAATTTTCCTATTTGGGGGTATGTTTTGTAATTTAATCCGTTTACATAAGGAGCACTTATGAATTTTCAAAATCAAAGCGACAGAATTTTTGAATCAACCTAATACATCGGCAATCATTTGATGAAGGATTTGATAGTTGCTCACTATAGATTATGGTGTCTAAAAGCATTCTGGTTGGCCAACAGCAACATTACGTCGTTGAACATTGGCAAGGGTCTCCGCACAGCATTTGCAAGAGTGTCATTCAATAATTTTCCTACCCTGAGCGGCGGAAAGGCGAGCCAATCTTCAAATAGGCGTGGAAAATGAATGAGGATCACGAGTTGAGAGTTCTGCTCGAAACGAACGCTGCCAATAAGAGATAACGTACAAGCCGCATTCTTATTTCTTTGAACGCAAACAGTCCAAAGGACCAGTCCGTGTGGGACGCAGTGATTGAGAACACTGTAGGTGAAAGCGAGGTTCCGCAAGGTGCAAGCTTAGTGTGTTTACTTGCGTTTAGAGCAAACTGGGTGCAATTTTGTACGCCCGAAAAACTATTGAAAAAAATAGTGTAAGGTTTGCGCATACAGAACTAACGATGTCCAAAGCCTAATATTCTCCTAGGATGCAGCTTCGCTTCAGCTAACGCTTCTTGCGTTAATGCATCTTGCTAAAACATGGATACTGAACTTACAATATCAAATAGTTGAACTGGATCCGTAATCACTGTGTCATGCACATAAACGTTTTCACCCATTCCCGATCTTGTTGACTCGTCTGATTTTTTCAATGAGCACCCTTTGGCGTGTTCTATGGCTTGCGCTTCAAGGTTCATGTTATATTCCTGAAATCTTTCTCGCAAAACTCTTACGTTGACATTCTCAAAATCAACTACGATGACACAATTTTGAAATGTTTTTTGAAGAAATGAAGTTTACGCTCACCATTTTTGACATAAATGCAGCCGTTGGTAAATTAGCATTGCTCGGATTTTTACCATTTCTTATTTGACCTGTTGCGAGCAAAGTTCTGAAAAGGGAACTATAACATCACAACCATACTAATATAATGTAACCGTAGAACACAAGAAGCAGTATTGAAGAACGTGGGAAGACGCTCACCTCCTATAATTATGTGTCTTCACCACTTTGTTCCTTCCTGCAGCCGTCATGTAACCATTGTCTGAGTTTATATCAGCAGTAGTTGTCTCACTGGTTGAAGTCACGTCCGTCGTTGTTGTCTCACTGGTTGAAGTCACGTCCGTCGTTGTTGTCTCACTGGTTGAAGTCACGTCCGTCGTTGTTGTCTCACTGGTTGAAGTCACGTCCGTCGTTGTTGTCTCACTGGTTGGAGTCAGTTCCGGCTCTAAAAGAGCAAGCGATTTTATTGAAGAGTGGAAAGGGTTTTTCGTGCACTAAAAGAGGAAAGGAAAATCAAGCAATTGGTCAAAAATCTAATCTCTCTAATCCCTCCGAAAACCATTTTTCTGGTATTCTCGAAAATTTCAACTGTATATGACGTGGATTTTGGCGCGAGAGGTTTCCCAAATAAAGTAGCCTAGCTTTATGTGAATAAACGGCACCCTTGCCGACGTAAACATGCTCTTGAGACCCTTTACCGTGGGTTTTACAAGCAGAGATAAAAATGTCTGAAACGCTATAAAACCTAGAGCAAGCTCATAAACTACTGAAGCGTAAAATTAAGCCAACTTTTTAGGACTTTTGAGTTTATCCCAATGAAATTTGTGTTTGCGGCAAAATCAAAATTGTATTCTTTTTGCGCCATCGGTTTTGCACTTGCCTGTAGTCGCTAACCATGTTTTGGTCTTTTTGTATATGTAGAAAAAATCAGGATAAACATGTCACCGCGCTTACAAAACAAGTAAGCAATCTTTACCGTCAAATTTATCAAAACCTCAAATATTATTGCAGTAAGTGATACATTACAAATCAGCTGTGTTGTAAGATGAAGGCTATAAAGCCAGTAGTCTTAACACCTTCTTGATTATAGCACCGACGTACTATAATCAAAAAGCTCTCCCACTAAATGCTTTATGAAGACGCACAGTTGATGGTGACGAATATCTTTATATAATTGAATACTAGCCGCCTGCAAGACCAATCACAGCTGATTGAAGATTTAGCTATGTGCGTTTTGATTAGATACGATGTGCTATCTTGAGCTCTAATCGCAGCTACAAATTGAGGTTCTTTTCCTATAGGTCTCTTATATCATACCATCCTAAAAGTAAGCAGAAAGGTTTGTATGCAAATCGAAATAGCATAGCAAAGCCACATGGCAAGAATCATTGTCTTTTAAGGGCCGCTGGATCAACATCGCTGGGTGAAAAACGCAGCTCAGAAGAAGGCTTTACATTTCCAGAGCTGCAGTGTCTTGTCTTTCACATCTAACTATCCGCAAGCGTTTACTGCTCTTTACTATGACCATATTAAACATGAGGGAAAAGCAGTCCAGATGCCATATTCAGATCATCCCAGCTGCCCTATCTTTTCTTAAAGTTTCAAAATTGTATTGATTTTCTAACCTAACAGTGCTAAGCATGTTTTTGAGGAGGAGATAAATGATACATCGAATTCATGAAATATGCTGTGGACCAGTGACCAAATGTGAGCTTATAGAGATTCTCGATATTCCAATATCTCCTTTATTCATATCTGTAAAATGCTTAGCACTATTGGCAGATAAACAGCACAACTTTGAAACGCTTTCATTGACATTGAAGGAAGAAAATTATTGAAAAGAAAAGACTCTATGCCGCCGGTATAATCAGCGCGACATACAAAAAGCTGGAAGATGCGGCTTGTACCGCTTAAAAACATTTGTGAATGGTTAGATCGCGTAAAATTTACAACTCTGGACCTTTAGGGAGGCTCCATTTGCTCGGTTCCCAATCAATGGGATATCAATGCAGTATGACTATGCGGCTCGTATGATGCAGCGGCGAAAGGGAACAATTCTTCATCTATTTAAAAGCCGGCCTGCCATGACCAGGTATGGCTACAAAAGCAGAGTAAAGTTCTAGCTAGAGAATTCTTAGGTCGTTGCGATCTATAACAAGATGCATGTCATTAAATTCGCCTCGTTGAGCTGAATCCAAATCTACTTCCATATCTACTGAGCATTTCTAACAGAAGTTATGAGCGTTTAAAGTCCAAATTTTGCATATCCCCAATGCCACAACTACGAGGAGTTGTTGTTCAAAAACGGTTACTATGTTTTCGATGTTTGTGTATAATCTTTCAAGTCAGTACATTCAACACCAGGTTACTTAAGCACTCCCAAGCAGATTTTCATAGCATATCATGCATCATATTCTTATAACTTCGTAATTTTGATCGCTCATAATTTCTTCCAGAGAAAAGCGGCGAATAAGCAAAGTTTAGTTAAGTCGATTTTCCGCTCAATATAGTTGCTTGCATTGCAGATAAAATAAGGTAAAATCTGATAAATACAAATAGCCACGCCAGTAATGCCGGTAGTGGTTACAACGTAGCTATTTCTTCACACGCAAAGTTCACCGCATTTTCTTGAAGTGCAAGCGCACTATATTGAGCAGTAAGCCTCTCTCGTCCCACTCCAGTAGCTTCATCACCCACTGCGAGGCCGCGGTGAACAGCTTCGGCGAGATTGTGTCGCCTTGTCGGACCCCCTTCTCGATTGATGTGGTCAGGACTGCAGACTACTCGACTGCAGACTTAGAATCAGCTGAGACGGATCTGATAAGGTGCACTTCGTTCCAGATCCCAACCCGGGTCCTTTTTTAGATAAAAGAAACTTACAAACGGAGACTCTGACAAATACAGGGTGTCTCAAAAAAATGTGAACACTGTTTGATCGTTAATAACTCTCTTGCTTTCAAGTCTTTCGCCGAGCTTGAGGCGCCATTCTGTAGAGCGAGGTTCAACTTAGATTCAGCTTGAAAAGAATTTCCGATCTTTATTTGTTACTGTAGGATTACGATACAAGCTTTGAGAAGGATTTTAGGAAAGTGAAAGCGATTTTTGCCTCAGGAAGAAAGCCAAACAAACCAGAAACTCTTGTACTGGACTAATCGAATTCGCCGATTCTATACATGATTTTTGCACTTTACTGTGATGCTTCCTTCATAAGTCAGCTTGTTTTAGGGTAACATTTGTTTTTTCAATGTTCATCAGAGGTGCGATTACACCATTAAAAGAGCTCAAAAAACTGGTGAAAAGTTGTGTACTGGAATCAGCACGCCTAAAATTACTACATATATTTCCCAATTTTTTGGAATTTTTGCTAATAAAAGGCCTATTTCACAGTCACGCAATATACTGAAAGTTATATTGTAATCCTATAGTAACGAAAAAAGATCGGAAATTCGTTTCGCTGAAAATCTAAGTTGAACCTTGCTCTACAGATTGGCGCCTCAAGCTCAGCGAAAGACATGAATGCAAGAAAGTTACTGACGATCACACAGTGTTCACAATTTTTTGGGACACCCTGTAGAGAAGGAGATAAAAGGAGGAGGTATTGCTTCAACCATCAGTCATTGACAATTATCGAATTATTTATACCTTTTGTTTTCATTTTGTTGAAAAAGATTATTCAATAAAACGCTTCACCCTTAGCAGGCTCTTGCAGGGCTCGGCATAGCCGGCACTGGGTCAAGCTGGATATCGTTTTTAGGGCGGAAAGCAAAGGGGATATCGTTTTTCCGGAGTCCGGGGCGGAGATGCCGCTAAAATGCCGCCGGCATGCCACCGGCATGCTGCCCATCAACAAACAAAGGCGTTGTTTTCGACGAAAACGCAATAGTATGACACCAAATTTGGTGTGTGCATGCGCGTTGGCGGACCCGAACTATGGCCCTAAAATTTATGAAAACTTATGTGAATGAAAGCTGTGCCGAACTTTTTTCTGAATTAGCTGGCACCGTGCCAGCTGGGTGCCAGCTGAGCTGGCACCGACACTTTGCTCACATAAATTTTCATACTTTCTTACATAAAATGTATCTACACTGTAAAAGTTTACATACAGTGAAAAAACAATTTCATAATGTTTTCATTTCAGCGTTTTATAGCCATTTGAAAATTACTCGGTCTGCTTCGCAATCGAAAAATCGGCTTTTTCTGCTTCTCAGAATGTGATTCAACCACTTGAAAAGCTCAGAAAGCTGTGAAAAATTGTTTCGTGAAATCAGCATGCATGAAAACCCTACTACTTACTTTTACATAAACTAAAAATATGGCGGGCCTTCAAAACAGGTCAAAGGGGACTTCGTACGAACATTTCAAGGTCAAATGGGACTTCGTTTTGAAATTTCCCCGGTGCCAACTCGTGCCGAGCTCTGGGCTCTTGACTTATCCCGTCAGCCGCTTAGCCGCTTCGTTAGCGGTCCAATGAGTAAACTGACTAGTAGTAAGGCGGCAAACGGATAAGTCTGGCATCTGCCTTAGCGATCAGTAATTATAGAGACTTTCAGAAAGATTTTTTTCTTAGTTTGTTAAGTGGTTGTAATAAGTTCAATGAATGTAAAGGCAACAGTTTTCTCTTTTCAATCACTCGATGATTCTATCAGACACTGTGAATCATGCATATTGTCTAGACTTAATGCGTTACTAATTTCAATCATGAAAGGGGTCTGAAATTGCTGTCCCAAGGTCTTTCTTAAATTTCAGAGTGACAAAAAATGGGTTTAATGTTTTTTCGAGGCAAATTCTGCGTCCTTCTTGAAACTATGTGTAGTCTGACAAGGGAATGGTCAGAAGTCGAAGTGGCCAATCCATACAAGCTGCATACCGATCGATGCAGCATAGAATGCTGATTTCAAATGTGTCTTCCGTATCTGCAGAGCGCTTTTGTGGGCGAAGTTATGAGCAGCTTTACTGCGGAAATGTCGTCCACAAAAACTGTGAAATTAGGCATATCACTGCTCTTTTAGCTCACCTTTAGGTACGAGCCATATGAACTGACCTAGTTACACGTTTTGGTCCAACACTGAGCCGAGAATGGCTTTGTAAGGCCAATTTTGACCTTTACACGCACAATTTCTTAGCAAATTGATGACATTTAACGGCTTATAACTTTGTCTACAAAAGCGCTCTGCAGATAAGGAAGACAGATCTGAAATCAGCACTCTATTCTGCATCGAATGGTATGCAGCTTGCTTGAATTGGCCGCTTCGATTTCTGACCATTCCCTTGTGAGAAAAAGACAACAAGAACAAAGACACGCGAAAGCAAAAATTAGCGTAGGTTATTGACAAAGTTTGTAGAACACCATGTTTGGTTCGGTTCTGAGAACGAAAAATTGTTGGAAGAGTATGAAATTCTCATGAAAAGAAGCCAGGCAGGTAAACGTTCTCGTATCTCTCTGCTTAAAGCCGCTATAGAAATTAATGGCTTATGTGGTCTTGTGATTACCTTTTTTCTGTACCAATGAACGTTTCAAATGGCGAAACGTGTACTGGACAAGTATTATAGTTTCACTAGCTCCGTGAAATGCTTGCTTTGGTGACCCACAAAACCTAATCCATAGAGAGTGTGCGTGGTGAAACACTTTACAATAGATTTCTTCACCCCATTTATAAAAGCGACGTGCTTTTTTCTTCAGCTAATCAAAAACTTGGAAGATCAGGCTCGATTACACTCAACGTACTTCTGCCTCCACTTTCCCAAAGATATAGCTTTTCTGTATTTTTGATAACGGGTTTCTAATCAATCAATAACTAGCAAAGCTTGAATTTATGCCGATGAATGTGGAAACCATAATGAAGCGTTTTTTTCTTCTGAATTCCTCTGTGATCCATGAACAGGAGCATATTATGATTAAAAAGAGTCTGTTGTCTTGACGACTTTTCGTATCTTGTACTCAGAAGAAGTAGAAGTATAATAATCGATTGGACATAGATTTTTTTTGCAAATTATATTGCTCCACTGACTCAAACTATATTTCTAAAGCGGTTCTCATTGCAATTCTCTACCTATTCATCCTACGGATAAGTTTTCAAGAAAATTAGTGAGTGGGTAAACAAAAGTTAAGAGCTGATTCTTTCTTTAGTTTCCAAGCTTCCTTTACCAAATGATCAAACACTTTTTGGCAAAGCGTCGACCACAAAGATCAAGCGGTACTGCTTTGGTGTCATGCTGCATTCCAAACACACAATCAAATTAAGACATTTTCCTGAGTGCTTCTCAATCGACCCACCTGGTACTACGATTCCTGGGTATTCGCACAGCTTCGCAGTCGCATCACATTTTGATCCTGGGTACGTAGTGCACTTCGAGTCCTGCGCACATGGAGTCCCTCTTTCATAGATACTCTGACCCTTGACTGGTTTACTGAATGGAACAATTACTGCAGCCTGTTCAACAGTTCCTACTTCATTACAATACCGCTCACATTTTTTGAAAAAAAGACGCGAATGTATGGACATGTATGAACATGTACGGACATGTCCATACATGTATGGACATGTCCGTACATGTCCGTACATGTCCATACATGTATGGACATGTCCATACATCAGCGTCGCGTGGCCATATCTCGCTTCAGAGTGGACGAATTTTGAATCCAAGGCCACCGTTCGATTCAGCTCGGCGCGGAGAATCTTCTGATAAATTGGAAGTGGGGGTACGATGTTTTCGATATTCCGTTTCCAGTTTTTTCAATTTGTTCTGCGGAGGTCCTTTCGCGAATATGTGACAACGCCTACCCAACATAACCTCGAGTCATTTGTAACTTAATATGTGAGACGGCACAATAAGCACTATTAGCGGTAGCACTTTTACTGGTAAGTTTCCAGTGAAACATTTTCTAGCTCAACAAAGTGTAGAAATGTGTTCTATTGACTAACATTTAATCAACAAAAAGAAAAGAGACATTGAAACAAGCAGAAGTCACTGGAAATAAGCAGGTTCTAGTTTTGCTGTTCGTCAGTTAGCGTGTTCGGCGTGCACTAAGCATACTAAGTTACGAATGACTCGACGATAGAAGACTTTACTAAGTACTATTCGATAATACTGTTCTTGTAAATTATTGTGCGCTAAAAAATAGGCTCAGACTTCTTTCCAAAGAGGTGAAAGCGTTGGTGAATTTTAGAAAAATCACGCGTTTCTAAATTCTACTCGCCATAACTTCCTTCGGAATAAGTATATTTTGAATCCGAAAACTGCGCCTTGCTCAGCTCATCAAGTCGAATCTTCCTATGTACAGCATGTCCTTGGTATTTCGATTTCAGTATTCTTGAATCTTTCTGAGGACGTCTTTTCGCGAAGGTGTAATGCAGCGAACATTGTCCCGAGTACATTTCAGCAAGGATCTTTCAATAGCACTTTTTCTGTAGATTATGATGTGCTAAATAGTAGTCGCAGGTTTCTTTTCAAAGGAAATAGAAGGGCTGGTGAATAGTGGAAAAATCTTGTCGTCCCAAATTCTACTCGCCATATCAGCAGGATACGAAGCTATCTTGCTAAGCAGATGTGAGTTCCGAAATCAGCAGGTCGCATAACCTCTACGAGCAAGTTTTCCGATATGTTCGGGTCATTTCATTTTTTCTCGCTTTACGCTCCGAAAGCGCGCCGATGGATTTTGGTCAAAATGTTGATGCTCTTGAATTGTAAGGAAACTTCGCTTATAGAGGTTTTCGAACACGCTCTTTACGAAAATCGTGGTCTTTGAGGATTACAGGGTCTTTTTGGAGAGATACGGTGAGCTGACTGTAACTTCATCACGAAAGTACGTAACTTTGGCCGCACTTCTCGCGTATCTGTCAGAAACCTTGCCTGCTTGCTTTTCTCAGTCAAAGTTACTAGGAAGTGTGCTATCGAATGGTGTATTACTCAGGCTCCAGTCTGTGAAATTCGCCGAGTTACGAGCCTACAAATACACGTCCTCATGAATTTTGCCCAAATTGTAAAGATCGCATATCTCGTCGAAATTCCTCCGCGAGCGCTTGTATAAGGTCATTCGGAAAGTTTTTTCGTTTGCACCTCCAAATTCAAACGAGCACAATTTTTCCCTGATTCAGCCTTTTTCCATCAAATAAACTGCATTGTGTTCAGCAAATTTCTGGTTACACTCTTATAGTGCTCTTGTGCTTTTCTCTTGCGGAATGATCTCAGAGGAAGTCATGAGCGTGGATGGCATCTCTCATAGTTTATACGTGCAAGTCTGCTCAGTTTTGAAATTTTGACAAACAGTCTTCAGAGCGACATCACACTACTCTGCTTTTACAGTACAATCGCATTTTAGCAAGTTTTTAGCGTACAAGACCAGCAGGATTACATTAATTTGAGTGCATCAACCTTTTGGAATGACAGATTGTTCTGGTCATGCTTTCCATGCTTATTCCAAATGATTTACCACATTGTCGCTTCTCATTGCCGCACTTAGTCAATTTTTTGCTGTAATTAATAACTCAGGCTGGAAAAGGATTGCTACATAAAATTATGAGCGACGAAAGCAGAGTCAACGCGCCCTCAAACTGCGATTGCGACAATTTGTGGGTACATGTCGCTGAAATTTTTCGGTATTGCAGCTTTAGCGAAGGTGGCTCCTAATAAGGTTATATGACACTTCAGGGCCTGCTGATAATTTTAGCAGCTATAAATGCGATTTAAAGGACCCTCTATGATGCTTTATATGGCAGAAACACCTTCCAGGACACTGCAAAATATTAGCTTTCACTTCTCTAGATCTGAACTTTCTGAAGTAAACTTGAACCTACCTCAAAAAAGACGTGGTCTTGGCAAATGCATTGCGCACAATGATGGTTTCCTCAACGGTCTTACGCTCAAATTTAAGCTTAGAGAATACAATTATTCGAAAATCGCGTTTTCGTATGTTGAATTTAGAGCCGCGTAAACTTCACTACAAAGCGTCTTCTGCAATTTCGGTGGGATCCCAGAAACTAGAAGACTTCCTTTACAGATCCATATATGGCAACCCTTAACAGCCCCCTGACACCCTCTTAAAATATGGTATCAACATCAAAGGCGCAAAAAGGAAAAAACTATCCGAATGACCTAATACAATGCGCTGATCAAATCCTTCCATATTTTTAATGGATCTTATTGTGTTAGATTTGGTGCTTTGAGCTCTAGCCACGAAATAGCTTTGATATTCAGTTGAGCAGCTGAAGCAGACGCAAGCACCATATTCAGTGCAGTGGGAGACGTTCAACGAAGCGAACATAATATCTGCAACGAGCGTCATACAAGCGCTCACGGAGGATTTTCGACGAAATATGCGATCTTTACATTTTGGGCAAAATTCATGAGGACGTGTATTTGTAGGCTCGTAACTCGGCGAATTTCACAGACTGGAGCCTGAGTAATACACCATTCGATAGCACACTTCCTAGTAACTTTGACTGAGAAAAGCAAGCAGGCAAGGTTTCTGACAGATACGCGAGAAGTGCGGCCAAAGTTACGTACTTTCGTGATGAAGTTACAGTCACCTCACCGTATCTCTCCAAAAAGACCCTGTAATCCTCAAAGACCACGATTTTCGTAAAGAGCGTGTTCGAAAACCTCTATAAGCGAAGTTTCCTTACAATTCAAGAGCATCAACATTTTGACCAAAATCCATCGGCACGCTTTCGGAGCGTAAAGCGAGAAAAAATGAAATGACCCGAACATATCGGAAAACTTGCTCGTAGAGGTTATGCGACCTGCTGATTTCGGAACTCACATCTGCTTAGCAAGATAGCTTCGTATCCTGCTGATATGGCGAGTAGAATTTGGGACGACAAGATTTTTCCACTATTCACCAGCCCTTCTATTTCCTTTGAAAAGAAACCTGCGACTACTATTTAGCACATCATAATCTACAGAAAAAGTGCTATTGAAAGATCCTTGCTGAAATGTACTCGGGACAATGTTCGCTGCATTACACCTTCGCGAAAAGACGTCCTCAGAAAGATTCAAGAATACTGAAATCGAAATACCAAGGACATGCTGTACATAGGAAGATTCGACTTGATGAGCTGAGCAAGGCGCAGTTTTCGGATTCAAAATATACTTATTCCGAAGGAAGTTATGGCGAGTAGAATTTAGAAACGCGTGATTTCTCCAAAATTCACCAACGCTTTCACCTCTTTGGAAAGAAGTCTGAGCCTATTTTTTAGCGCACAATAATTTACAAGAACAGTATTATCGAATAGTACTTAGTAAAGTCTTCTATATTGGGTAGGCGTTGCTTCACATATTCGCGAAAGGACCTCCGCAGAACAAATTGAAAAAACTGGAAACGGAATATCGAAAACATCGTACCCCCACTTCCAATTTATCAGAAGATTCTCCGCGCCGAGCTGAATCGAACGGTGGCCTTGGATTCAGAATTCGTGAACTCTGAAGCGAGATATGGCCACGCTACGCTGATGTATGGACATGTCCATACATATATGGACATGTACGGACATGTACGGACATGTCCATACATGTACAGACATGTCCATACATGTCCATACATTCGCGTCTTTTTTTCAAAAAATGTGAGCAGTATTGTAGATAAGGAGAACAGCGTATGTAGTGACAAGCTAAGCGCTCAAAGTATTCTTCTGCGCAAAGTGACGGATAATGGATAAGCAAAAAGAAGCCGTAAATTCCAAGAGTTAGAAAGGATGTTTTGATTAAAGGCAGTGTCTCACCAAAGTTGAGGTCGCGCGAATCTTCACATATTCTATTATAGGGACCTCTAAGTAGGCCATTGCAACAAGTCCCATTCAATTTGACCCCCTCCACGCTGAGAAAAATTCGCTCAAAGTGGTACGCCCAGAGCGACTGGGTACGCGCGGACGACTCCTTCGGTTTCCCCCCTTACGCGTTTGAACATGTCCCTCCACTTGGCATCCACCTCCCCTCTGTTGCTGCCACTGTGGCTGAGGCTGAAGTTGGAAGGTACAACTCGTCCACGTTGCTTCCGCGGGGCCTCCAGAAAACGGGGTTTTTCTGAACTTCGTGCGATTTCAAGCCCATACAGCGCTAGACAGGGTCCGACAGGCTTGCAAAATGCAAAAATCTGGGCAACTAAATTTTGGTGAGACACTGCCTTTAAATCTATAATTTACGAAGATGTGTTGTGTTCTAATCCTGTCAAAGAGTAATGCGCTTTTCCCCGATCATATTTGATTCGATGAACCTCACAACTATACTATGCGAATCAAGCCGCTTACTAATCCATACTGCTTTTCTTTCCTTCTTTCAAACGCTCGAACTTTAGCGATGCATTTCATAACTTGGCCTGCAATTTGTGAATGTCAAATGTTTTATTTAGGTTTATTTGGCTTACTAAAGACAATACAAATCAAGAAAAAACCATCATGATATCGCTATTTGTTCGGGAAAATGTGCATAATAATAAATAAATTAATCTAAAAGTAAAGAGACAGATATCTTGTAGCATTTTGTTCCGTCTTTCTTTTTCTGTTAGAGTTAAGCATGATCGTAATTCAATAGGGTCATATCATTGAGGCTCTACCTACGTAACAGATATCTCACAAAAAAACTTTTACCCAATAATCGCTCAAATTTATCAAAAATTCTTTTGACCGTTTCAAAATTCTAGCATCTTCTTAGACTCAAAAGAGGAGATATGGCAGCGACAACTGTAGATATGCTGGGCAGCAATCGTAAGATTGTTGGGCAAAACTAAAGTACTAGATGTCCCAAAAGTAAACCGCATCTCTGAATAAATCAAATTGTTTTTGTTCCCCTAACGGACTTAAGGTACCATTCGGTAGAGAGAAGCAAGCTTTACAAAAGGCCCTTAAAGGACCACCTGTGTTGTAATCAATAAAATTTGAATCTCAAAAATCAAAATTCTTGGCTACAAAAAAATCGTATCTCCTTCAGAAAATTCTTCCGGACCTCCTACTTGGTCATTGTACAGTGAGAAACGTAGTAACACCCAAAAATGTACTTGGTGGGTTTTTCCGGGGCTCAAACTGAGAAATTATGGCTCGTAGTTGCAAAAATGTCAGTTTTTCGGTTTCATTTCTGAACCTGGTGTTCCTTGACCAAAATCATAAACAGGGGTAAATTTGTAAGGTTGCACTGACCCAGGCTTGTAGGATACAATAACATATGTGGGAGGGGTTGAGGGCGTAGTTTGCCAGTTTTAATTCCAATTTTTTCTCGCTTTTTAAGCTCAAAAAATCCAGTAAAGGATATTTGTGTACTACTATGTGTTGCTGTACCATGACCAAGTTTGAAGTCCGAGAATTCTTTTTCGTAAAAATCCAATTTTAAGTGATTTTTTTTCTGATTTTTGCTTCAACTTTACCTGGATCACGACTTAGACGAATCTTTGGTGCTCATCTGATAGAGCTTGCTGCGCTCTAAGTCTGCTAGTAGAACAAAAACAATTTGATTCATTCAAAGATACGGTTTACTTTCGAAACAACCTACTCAATAGGTGGTTAAAGTTCTATTGAAAGTTGCATATTTTTGGTTCAAAATGCTATAATTTCAGAATCAAGGTATTTGAACAAAGTGAAATTCGCATGATTGAACAAATTTATGGCTATTACGAGGACAGTATTTCATTTATAGAGGACGAGTGAGAGAAAAGAGGAAATTTGAAGAATTTAGCAAGGCTTCTTCAAAATAGTCTGGTTCGACACATAGTAACGCTCTCTGAACGGATAGGCAGACATAATTGATCCCCATCGTTGGGTAGCCTATACTTCAGAAATTATATGATAAGTAAAAAGAAGTTGTATTGTTTTTGCTTCTGGATATTTTTATGAGTAAATTAAAAGAGCAGTTAGTTGAGCAACCCTCCGCGCTCGCAAGTATGCCGACTTTGACATTTTTTTTGTACTTGTGCTGACGATAAAAGTTATTTGGCTGATGTTCCTTGCTTCCTCTTGCTTTGCTCTTACGTACAAAAATATTGATTACATCAATTCTCACTATGTGTAGATTTTTATCGCTTTTAAAATAACGGAGGGATCTTCAGCCTTCATTGGCAAATATGGGAAATTAGACATGTTTTAGGCCCCGGACAGACTTCACGCGATTTGATCGTCGCGACTGAATCGCGACGAGACAACTGTTACAACATCATTCCATGCCGATCAACTCGCATTTCGGTTGTGATACTTTTCCAGCCCGAAATTTTTGAATGTGAAATGAAAATGAATGGAAATGTCGGCGATTGAGTCGCGACGATCAAATTGCGTGAAGTCTGTCCGGGGCCTTAGCGTGTGTAAAGGAATTGGAAGCAAAGTGTGCCAGTCTTAGCACATTACGACTCTACCAATTACAAAATTCTACATTTTCAAAGTTTACAGGCGCTGAGGAGAATTAGTTCAAAGAAACTATCTCTTGATCATAACGCATTTTGAAAAACTGAGTTCAGGGCTTAGACATCATCGAGGAACTGGCTCACCAAGAGTCAATGAGTATTGAAAGAGCAAGAAAAATGCTTTTAGACGGTGTTCATATTACTGTAACAAGTGCAAAATTCTTAGATGGTAGATACGCTAACGCAAGACAACCAAAATCGGGCAGAACTTTCGGAACAGTCTAGTATTAGCAGCTGCACTCGAAGACTTCGGGAATGTTCGTTATTATCGCCTTGTTTTAGCTTTCCTCTTCAGGCGACGAATGCACGGATATATGCAGTGGTAATGCCGAAATCGATATTTACTCGATAAAACACAAGTTCAATCAGTGATCAAGGTATTTTCCAGCCGCTTTTAAAGTGCGGAAAGGGTGCGACAGTTTACCCCAATGCTTAGATAGTATACATCTATTCAAAACATATTTGATTCGTATATAAGGACACTTACACGTTGAAGATGCATGAGTATTCAATATAGGTGTTAGTTGCATCCTCCTTGTAAGCGCATGCCACTCTTGTAGCCTTCGCATTGACCATCTAAACTTTTTCAAACGAAATCTTGCAAGTTTCAATCTATGATAAAACTAACTCATGCTTTCGACATAGCTTGCATTAACTTACGTTAGCAAAATTATCTAAACCATCCGTGTACGTTTGAGTTTTGTCGAGACCGCCGACATATACCACTTGACTGAACCACAATGCTTCCGCCATCATAGAATAGCCTTCGGGCTTTTTTGATGCAAGCAAGGATTTTGCAAATCTAGAAAATCCAATTAAGATGCTTTCAAGAATTTTTCGGTGTTAACAAGCCATTTCTCAAGCACTCATCATCTCCTGGAACACCATTTTTCTTGCGTTTACGATCTACTTTAGAGTTGAAAGATGCACTACAAAGCATGAGTGCCCGTCACCCGTCGAGCATTTTTTATAAGCAGCACAGTGTGAGGGTAGGCAAAAACTGCTTTGTGATAATGATTGTCATAATCTTGCACCATGCTTAACTTACAAAGAAAGTGTACTTGGTGATGCGGCCATTTGGAGTGCGATGTACACCCTAAGATGCGTCTCGAAACGCTGATTCTAAATCTGTGCTCGATATCTGCAAAACGACTTTCTGAAGGAGGTTATGAACTTTTTTCTTAGAAAATTTGTGCACTTTCGAGTAGTTAAAATAATCAATTTTCTGTAGCTATTGAAGAGAATTGTAAAAAAATACTGTTGTAACATATCTCTCTAAATCATATTCAGCACTGGGAAAGAAAAAAATTTTTGTTGATAATTTTGACCCTCCGTAGTAGCGCAAATTATTCATGAAAAAATAATCATAACTCCATCCAGATTCGTCTCGCAGATACGGAAAACAATATTCGAACCAGTATTAAGAGGCGCATTTCATGTTATGCGAATCATCACGAATGGACACGATCGCCAAGTATCCTTCCCTTGTCAGTGTTTTTCCTCAAATTCGAAGGAAATCTCTTCGATTTTCTATTGCGAAGTTGACCATACTGCACAAAGACTCCATTTCATCACAATTTGCAGAAATGCATGATGCTGCCGTTTTGGTGCTCTCGCACAAGCTAAGCATTAACCCTTTTTAGCATTCAATTGATGCGTTCAGAATGTTTGAAGAAAACGATGCAAACAAAATATAAATGGTTTCTTTGAGATCATTAGCACTTGAAAATTTTTATCCCGCGTAGCAACAAGGCTTAACGATTAGATACCTATGATTAGTGTTGTAGTAAGTATTTGGTTTTATGAAAGTGACGATGCGCTTTTGAATCTACCACGTGGGTGCAAAAGGTGTTTCCGTTTTTCGGATCAAACTGCATGCCCCTTAGAAAAAGGATAAAAGATTAAAGCAATGTGTAATGCAGAATTTCTTCTTCTCGGTGGAGGGAGGAAGAGAGGGAAGCTGGCAGGTGTCAATAATCATTTCTTACCCCCGCTTTTGACCATACGCAGGCGGAACTTTAGAGCTTTTCTGTTTTTTGCTTTTAGTTGTAGCGTAGAGTTGAATAGATTTATTCAGTTTGGAATGTTGCGGAAATAGGTTAAATCAAGCAAAAAAGGGGTGCAAAGGTGAAATTTCGAATATCTCACGTTTTTGTTACAGTAGCATTATATAAATCGCACCTATCATCGGCTCCCACCAAAAATTATTCTGCCTAGCATTTATTTTAACTTTAATGAATTTTATTAGTCTGAAATTCTTGGTTTGTAGGTTTGTGGTAATAGTGCATGCGGGGCAATAGCGGCTGGCACTTGCCACCGTTCTGCGCAACACCCCCTTTCAGCAAGTAAGTTTCCAAGGTAACTTCCTTTTTGACGAATGCTGAGGTAATCGTTTATGCCTCCGATAATTCATTTTTATCATGTCTAAATTCGCTATTTTCTGGTATTCTAACTTGGGACTTGTGGAGCTGCTTTGATGGTCAGATGATAGGGCAAACCTTTGCAAATTAATGCAATCTTTCATACTCCCCAGATTCTTTCTTACATTAGAGCATTGCTGGTTGTGTAGAAGTCCTGCGTTCTGAAAAAATCGCACGACACATAATAGCTGTACCAAACAATTCAAAATCTTCAGTACAGGGTGTCCCAAAAGTATGTATACACTGTTTGATCGTTAATAACTTTTTTGCTTTGATGCCTTTCGGCGAATTTTAGGTATCATTCTGTAGAACGAGGTTTAAAACTTAGACATACAGTATCGAGCAAATCACCCATCATTCTTCAGTACTGTAGGATTACGGTAGGAAGTTTAAGAAGACTTTTAAGCCATTAGTCCATCAGTATACTCATTCAGAATGATTTGATACATCATCAAACTATCGTAGCTCAATTATTTGGGCTTGGAACTGACCAACAAAATACTGAAAAAATCATCCTAATTTTTGTAATATGATTAGACGAGAGGAAAAAGAGGACTCAAGAAATTAGAGATAATAATTATCAGAAATAGTTGTTGTCAAAACAGTATTGTTGAAACTAAGAGTGCATCGAGAGATCACTTCATTTTTGTACTAAGTGACAGGGTAAATTTGATTTATCTATGCTAGGTTAATATTACCCCGTTGAACCACGTTCATAATACGGGTTAATTGCTTTCTAATGTAAAATTTACTCTCAAGTTTATGATTCACCTTCAGAGCCTACCCTGTGCTTGGTGAATAGGGTTTATGCTTTTTTGGGGTAGAACTTACCTTCAAGGGTAAGGTTTACTCTCAGGGCCCGCGGCGATTGTTTGGGCTATGTTTGAGCAAGTTTTATACCTAGCAAATTACTACATTCATTAAAATTGCAGGACGCTCGAAATTTCAAAAAAAAAAACAGGGAAGGTTCTATGTGTTGGGATGCTGACTCGGGTAGAACTATGGTTTATTTTACTTTAGGGTTCGACACAGCCGTCATCTTCGGAGGTCTATGATTCACTGTGGTGTTAGTGAAGAAGTCAGCAGCTGCACAAAGAATGCAGACGATAATGCTATTCATACCATCAATCATCTGTTACTGACATTATGATATCATCATTTAATTTTTTATGATACATCAACTGCTCCAGAATGTTCAGGTTCAGAAAAGAAAGAAATTCAAGCCTAACAAGGAGAATTTTTGAGGTGATAGCCACAGCGTCGTTGACAAAAGAAGACTGCAGACGTTGCAACACTGCAGCCAACCACATACATCTTAACTTCGCTTTTCATGCTCAAGCAATAAAACGCAGGAGAGGACCCATCTAACCGTTTACATTTCAAGCGTTTAGTTACGATGAGGTCGTCGTCCTTATAAATAATTCAAACTGTTTTTGGTTTCTAGTAGACTCAAGGTAAATTCGATGAAGCAGATCAAGCTCTACAAAACGGCTCCCAATGATCTTAAGTCGCATTTCAGGTAAAGTTCGAAGCCAAAATCGAAAAAAGTTTAGTCACCTGAAAACTCGAGTTAGAAGAAAAATTCCTACCGACTTCTAATTTTGTCATTTTACAGCAGGCACATAGTAGTAATCAAATTTGCCTTTGTTAGATGTTTTCCGCGCATAGAAAGCGAGAAAAAAATAGTCAAAAAATAAAAAATATAATAAAAATAATAAGTATAAAAATAGTAATATATAAAAACAATGTTGGAAGTCTGTAAGCTTTTCTGAAAAGAGATCCGATTTTTAAAGTAACTAAAAAAACAAATTTTTACTCTTTACATTTTACTTGATTTACAACTTAGGTGAACCCTTGATGGCCTTTTTATGAAGCTTGCTTTTCTCTATCGAATGGTATCCTAAGTCTGTTAGGTAAACAAAAACAGCTTTATTTATTTGTAAATGGAGTTTACTTTCGGGACAACCTAGAAAATCAGAAAGGTCGACCCTGTAGTCATATTGATAGCATTACGTTTCAGTACTTAGAGCAGTCAAGACCATCTGATTGTTAAAGTAAACAGAAGGAACTCGAGAGCAACTGTCAAAGACCATGAACTGTGCTTTCCAATAAAATGGGGACATTGCAATAGCTTGAAATCCTCAATTTGTAAGTAAACTTACACGGCATAGTTTTGCGCATATTTGTTGTTCAAAGTCAATTGCTTCGCCTTATCAATGGCATCTGTAAGTTCTTTTTCCATTCCGCAGTCCCAAAACTGAAACACGCAGCAGTCATCAGTTGTTAATAAAAAAACAAAACTAATGGAAACTTTAAACTTTTGCCAAGGAATCTTTACGCGACAGTGCTGTTTGCGGCAAATCAAACAAAATTCTCATGAGGAATTTCCCGACAAACCACTGCTGGCGATTCGGAGTATGGGAAAACACACAAAGTTCATATCTCATCGGAAACCTGCTAGGACTGCTATAATAGATTCGCAGCGCAACTTTAGGCTTGTTGGCTCTAAAGAAAGATTGGCTTGGAAAGGAGCAACAATTCTCTGAACTCACAGTTCAAGACAATGACAAGTTCAGTGAATGTAGCAATGCGCTGTCATTCATTAAGCTATCGAAAAAATTATTATAGGATATTAAAGCTTCCGACAAATGAGTAGGCAACAAGCAATTCGAACATCAAAACACCAAGGTTTAAGACGTCCTGTCAAAGCCTCCCTTTTCTCCCTAGCAGATATGCTATGCGAGAGTTGGTCCATTACTATTGCAATGATTATCGTCCCTTTTGAGTCAGTTCTGAGAAAATTTCCTACTCTAATTATAGAGTGAAAGCGCACCATTTTTTATCAGCGAACACCTCAAGGGATATTGGGGTTGGAGGATTTGTACCGTGCTGCGTTTTACATTTGAGAATTGCGACGCAGCTACCGTTAAGCGAAGCTCAGCGGAGAGTCTTAGCCGCTGGCATCCAGGAAGGCAAAAGCTTGCAACCTTATACTCACGAAACTAAATTAAGAGATGTATTTGAACTGTCACATCCACTCTTTCAATAAAGCTGGAAAGACCCACCAATTTGTACATGTTCTTCGCTTTTTTCAGGTACTGCGTTTCAGGATCTTTTTCATTGACTATATTCGCTCTAACAGTGTTGAAAACATCGAGCATTTTGCCCCGGTCTGCTTTGGTGGGACTTGATGATGGTAATCCAAATCCTGTGCATTCTGCAAACAGTTATGTTGTTGTGTACTTTCGTAATGAACGATTACTCCTCTTCGCTTTTTACAGCCTACTGTAACGGACATGGTGAGAACGTTGAATGAATTTTTTAAAATGACCAATATATTCTGCTTTTTGTGCAAACAATCCAAAGCGCAGCTTCGAGGAGCTTTGGGCTGGCTGTGTGGAGTGGGGATGTGACTAAAATTTAGAACTTTTGAAGTTTTGTGGTAAACCTTTTCCTCCTCAAAATCTGGTAGGAACTTTTTAGACACTTGACGAACTCGAAGAATATTCATGTCAAAAGCAAACCAGCAGAAGGCCGTCTCTGGAGTAAACCCATCTCCAGCTGCTACTATAGAAACAGCATGTTATGTGCGGCGGCAAATGCTCCGCAGAACAGCTATTAGCTTAGCACGTTCTCTGCGTGCAAGTAGTTAAATGCAAAGCGTAGGCCCTGTTCTATAATGGTCTGTTGGCGGTCTAGCAAGCCCTTGAGAGTAACCTTGAGAGTTACAGCTGCACTTGCTAATAGTTTCTCACTTACGACAACTGTACGATTCTCTTTGCTTTTTTTCTGGAAAAAACGATAAGCTTCTTGTGAGAATGCTATCTCTGCTGAGCCTGCTCTCCAAATCCGCCTCATTTCTACTACCGTTTCTTTAGCGCCAGAAAGTTTAGCGTTTTTTTGGAAAAGAAACGTTTTATCTGGTTGCGAGTCATGTATAACTCTTCTTTGCGATATTCCTCCTTTACATTTGAGAAAACATGGCTATGGTAATGACGGCGCGAAACTTTTTGTTAGTCTGTATTCAACGCAAAGTCTCTCGTACAGGAGAAGTATTATATAAAGATTTTCAAATTTATTGCGTAAAGGGGAGTGTAGTATTGGCATGCATACTGGCAACTGACTGATGGGCTGGTAATATTTTCATTTACTCATCATCTCTTATTTACATCATACATTTATTGCAAAGTCTCTCATACGCGAAGAAAATTATGTGGGGATTTTCAAAGTAGCGCAGTTCCAAATAAATTTTGTTTTAAAGAGAATTACTTACCTATGTCTTCGGCATTCGTGTAAGTTATACTGCTAAAAAGGAGAAGTAGGTGAGTCTATAAAATCTCAAAAATAGAAAGAGTATGCGAAATGTAAGTGAACCTACCGCTACTACCAGTAATAGCTCCATTTTGAATTTTTTCTCTCCGCTGCACTTTTATGCTTATCTTTGTGTACATTTTTCCAGCTGTTGGGCAGAGGGAAGCTAAATCATATGCTATCATTTATCTCTCGACAAAAAATGGAACCATATTGCGAAATGCTACAGTAGTGTAAACATTGCAGTTGCGGAAAATCTTTGCCTTCTTTCAGGGATTTGATTGAATTGAATTGAGTTTACTTGAAAGCATAGGTTCTTATCTAGCCTTTCAGACTGGTGGGATAACCTATGGTGCATAAAAGAGTTTGCAGCGTTTCCCTACATTAATTCGGGACGACAGCAAGATCCGTACTTCTTGAACCTGTTGCATGAGCAGTGTTTCACTCAGGCTCCAAAAACCGTCCGCATCCTCATTTGTTCATACTAGCCTAGATGCCGCCTCTATAACTCATTGTCATTTATTTTGCATTGGCCTTTTCAAACGGATGTCACTACCGGCTGAATCTGAGCTGATGTTAGACCTTGACACATCAAGATTGTTGTTTAGCCACAAGTGTGTTTCTGTGTTTATTGTGTTTTTTGCACCTTGAAAGTGCTGCATAAATGACTAAACAAGTAAGAGCAACACCATGACTAGTTCGGCACCAGCTCGAACTCGGAAGATTTTGAAACATAGCCCCTTATAGACAACTTGTATCCCCCCCCCCCCCTCCCGTTTTCCCTATATCCCACTTGTTTTTCCGTTTGCGCTGTCACTCACCACTAGAAGGTGTAAGGATGAATACCTCAACTCTTCCCTCCTTCCTCTCCTTACCCAACGAACTCCCCTTCCGCTTTTCTGAGAGTGATATGTTCAACCAAAAGAAAACATAAAAAAAGGAAAGTAAATAAAAGGAAAGTAAATAAAAAGGCAAGCATAACCAAGGCCGAACTTCACAGGGGAAGTTCACAACATTCGTCGCGGCTTCCGCTTTACTCGCGATTTCATATGTACGTAGTCAAATCAAGCGCGGGAATTCGCGCGATTTGAACTGCGCTCTTTTTTCCAGTGTTTTCGCTCTTCAGCCTGCTTTTGATTGCTTTCTTCACGTTTTCCCTCTCTATTCTCACTTTACCTTAGTGGGCACCTCGATAAGTGTTTTGTCGGATTAGATTGATTGGTGTGATATTATGCATGCTCTGGACAAATTCTCGTGGTATCCTGACCGAGATTTTCCTATTTTTCTAAAAGCTTCATCTGAAGTAATAGTTTCATGAAAATTTGTCTAATTTTTTGTAATAAATACATATTACAATGCCAATGTATGGTTGTTTTAGATTCTACCTTTTCCTGTTTGTTCACTCTGTACATCGGTATACAATGGCCCGTAGTAAACCCCACATCAGGGCATGTCTCTCGACGCGGGCCGGCGTCGATCTCATCACGCCTCAGTCTAGCATCCAACGAGCCATTGATCTGGATGCGGATCGCTTCCGAGGCATTACAATCGAGTGCGTTCTTGAAAAAAGAACCACTTGAGTTGGTTTGGTCAGATGGGTAAGCGATTGGAATTACACGCGTGCGGCCATGGTTTGACTTCGACTAGCGACACACCTTTTGATGCATCGCTGGGCAATCTTTAATAGCGGCCACTACGCAATCGATGATGACCGCTATCAAGGATTTCGCCTAGCAAATGCACGGATAAAACAAAGACACAATTTGTGACGAAAATTTCATGATAAAACGAAATGGTTGCAGCGTTTTTTTAATGAAATGAATAAAAGAGTTCTTGTTTTGGACAGCTAATGAAAAAAACCAGTAAGGTTTATAAAAAAAGAGAAGCATTTGTTTTTGTTTTCCTCGCCAAAATCAGCTGTTCATCGATCCTCTCCTTTTCGGGCGCTGTTGTGCAGTTTTGCGCCGATTTTGTCCGCATTTTTAGCTTAACTGATGTGTATCGTAAGTTACTCAGGAGCAAATTACGGGAGTCTTATCTGCATCTTCTATTTTACACACTATTTGCACGTCTGTCCACCTGCTGCGGTCAACTCTTCCACATCCGTTCACGTTCGGGTCACTTGATAGTGAACTGATGTGGAAGAGTTGACTACAGCAGGTGGACAGACGGTCAACTATCAGTTCACTCGCCATTCTTATAGCATGGGAGGGTGGGTGGTCATCAGTTCATCTGACGTGAGGTGAACTGATGGGATAAGTTTAGTTCACCTAAACTGATCGAGCTTTACTACGGGCCAATGTGCGGATATGGAAGCGCGAAGAATTATCTTTGGTATCACAGTGCGCAAGGTTGTCAATAATTGGTTCCAGCATTACCAATCACAGCTCGATTCGAAAACCCGGTAAATGCAGTTGTGTGCATCCATTTCACATCTTAGTTATACAATTCAATTTTTGAAAACTTCTGCTTTTTGCTATCAATCCTAATATCAGTTCGCTGGTATTTTCTTCCGGAATAGCCATAAAGGCTAGCTTCTAACTCGCATGTGCCTATAAACACAATGCTAGTCTATTGCGAAGATGGGAGACAGTGACTAGTTTTGAGGGTGCGGATATGGTCTGGACTTGTTTGCTCGACTTAAAGGCAGTGGGTCGCCAAACTTGCAGCTGAGCACTTTCTGTTCCTGCTTGGTCTTCTGGATGCGTTTAAAGGCTCCGTTTTCTTTTTGCGTCACTAGTAAGTAAATGCATCACAAATCAGTCTGTTGTAAGTAGAAGACTTTGAAGTCTGTCAACAGTTTATAACACCGATGTACGATAATCAAAAAGCTGTCTCATCAAATGCTTTGTGAAGACGCACAGTTTTGGTAACGAATATTTTTGAATAATCGGGTACTAGCCGTCTGCAAGACGCAGCCATGGCGGATTGAAATCCAGTCGCAAGTGTTTTGATTAGCTCTAATCACAGCTATAATTTGAGGCCATATCCTTTCCTATAGGTCTCGTATGTACCTTTTTAAGAACAGGCAGTAGATGGATATGATATGCAAATCGGAATAGCAAAGCAAAGCCAAATGCAAAGAATTATGGTTGTTTCAGGGCCGCACGCATAAACCTCCCTGCTGAGTTGAAAACTGCAGTTCAAAAAAGCTTTACATCCTGGAGCTTCAGTGTCTTATATTTCAAGTCTGAATATCCGCAAGTGGTTTACTGCTTTTCACTATGATCGTAATAAACGTGAAGGAAAAGCAGTACAGGCCGTATTTTTTAGATCTTAGTATGATATCTAAATAATTCCCAGCTGCCCCGTCTTTTCTGTAATTTCAATTTTGTACTGATTATCTAGCCTAACAGTGCTAAGTATGTTTTTGAGAATAACAATGTATCGATGTATACTAAACAATCAAGAATCGATGTAATGGATAAGGGCGTGTTCTTGTTTGTTTATTACATGTTTATCACATGGCTTTATCATGTGCAAAGAAATGTTGGCTAAATAATGATTTACTGAACATTGACAAGGCGCAAACGGACTCTTACGCTTCGATCTTCTATCTTTCACTTTCCTTTTTGCCTTGTATGTATTCGATAAATTATCTAGATAGGACGTAACGTCCTCTGTGTTTTCGAGTGTCGCTTTAGCTGGAAGTGAAACGAACAACGAACATGAAACGTTTGTCAACCGTAAAAAATTGCCACACTTCTTTCTTCCCCTTTTCTTATGTCAACAATTGAGAGAGGGAGACAATTATATCAATAACGGCCGATGCTGAACTATGAACTATATATTTGTCCATATGCCACATGATCATGACGAAAACCTTGCAAGCATAATTTACATGATGATTTTGCAGAGATATCAAAAATTCAATTTTGAACCGATCCTAAACTGAAACTTTGCACATATAGTTTTTTCATGCAACTTTTACTCCTTGAAATGGGTATGCCGTAAAGCCCAGAAGCAGACGTCCAGATTAGCGGAACAGGTTCAAATCAGGGTCCGGCAGGCACTAGAATGGCAATGCCAAGCTGGGAAATTAGGGTAAAGAGCAACGGAGATTCCTAAGCTTTCTGATATATAGATTGTTAAGTTTAAAAACCTGCCGGTTTCAAACAATGCCTGAAGCTATTCACTACATTTTAGATTACGTTCATTACGACAACCCGTCCCCTCAATGTGTTTATCTGGCAATGTATTAAGTGATTTATTCTGTCTGATGAAAAGTGCTTTGAAAGCTCTTTCACTCAGTACGAAGAACGTAATCTAACGTCTTTTACTATCTAAAATAATTACTGCATATCACACTGAGTTATTTTGCAATCTTTAGAAAAAATCTAGCGATCAACTTGAGCATAGCGAGCATAGCGACTTATATCAGCTGTTTTTGGACACTTCTTGCCCCTTTAACAAGCAAAGGCGTCCATCTATCACCTATCTCTCATGGATGTGACAAGCCTCAAAAAGCCTTAAACCTTGAATAATGTTTGAAAGAATCTTCCAGAAGAGAAAATAAAAGAAAGCGGCATCAAGCAACAACCATTGAAATTCTCGCCAAAAAATTGAAACCATTTCAATCGATATTTCTCTCCGGATTGTTTACTCTCAAGTTGATTTTATCCTCGAATTTTTGAATTTGACACTACCGTGATAAAGAGCATTTGTGCGGAAAAAATGCAGCATTGTAAAATACTGCTCCTCTAAATAAAATACCTGTTGTTGTGCTTCACGGCTGAGTCGTTCACGTACAAGAGCTTTTTGATCATAATTTACTTCAAAGGACCCCAAAATTCACTCTCAAAGTACCTTCTCAATTTAGCCTCAGTTGAACAGGGTCATCCGGGGCTCTGGCTCAGAAGTGAGGAAGATAAAATTCATGGTTCTCCCTACCGCTACTATGGTTGAAACGTAAAGTCGAATGAACAATCCCATACGTTACCGTTACCGTTACTTTCATATCAACACTCAGAATCTGTCATTTCTTGAAAACTCGCACTTCCTGCTATCCCACTGGATAATTTGCTAAGAAGAAAGACTAGCATAAAAACAACTAAGACAATAGCAGCGGGCGGACACTAACAAAAAAAGCAG